TGTTAGTGAACTCGCCAAAGTTTTCAACAGATTGTAATATTCTTTTATAATAATAATAATAATACTAATAATAATTTTTAACATAACATTACACTTGTACTAAAATAAAAATATTAAATTGTAAAATTGCTATTTGGGAAAGAATGAGACTAACAAGAGAGAAACATTCATAAAATTGTATTTGTGTGAAATATTGTTTTGTTGTAAATCCAATTCTTCAACGAGTAAATTTTCATTTTAATGTTTAATAAGATTTTGAAATTCGGTTAATAGTTTCTTTAGTTATTTTCAACAGAGTTAAATTGTTTTCGAATACAGCTATGTTAAATATTTTAAACGAGTCGCACAATGAGGTTGATTGATGTGTGGTGTATGAGCTCAAGTGCGGTGAGCAGGCAAATTTAATTGTCGTCGAATTTAATTAACATAATACATGTCGTGCTATACGTGTGCACTCATTGTGTGTTAAGTAATATGAACAACGAGTCATACCTACTGCCTTCCAAACAATACGAATTGTTATATGTTATACTTCTTGCAGAGGATATTATTTGGCGACGGCGAACAAAAGGAATCCGCAAGTTATTACCCGACCAAGGCACACACGATTGCGAATGTGTTATAACTTTGCCGTGTGAATGGATCTCGACCAGACGTGGCTCTATTTAGAAAATTAATTACAATATCAACGCACACATTTTCTTCACTTATTCGCGGAATTATACTAATACAACAATCAATCTCATTGCGTACGCTAAGACAAGATAGTTGTTACGAGTCTTGACGAATTCTGTGTACTGTGTTCCCTTACGCACAATTGCATTACAGGTAAACACCGATGAAAGCGTTTATTTGAAATTATCGACTATTAGGTATCGCGCGAATCTCACTTGCGTTGAAAAAATAACCAATAAGTCAACTGAGGAGGGGTCATCGATGATTATCGCCAAGACAAATACTTAATTAGCAAACACTCTGACCGAGTAAATAACTTGTTCGCGTATAAAACCCTGGCTGATTCATTCCATTACAAAAAAAAAACTGCCAGACTTTTATAACACCCAGTCTTTTCAATCTTTCTTCATTTCTTTCGCTCTGAACGAGTGGTGGTCTGTTGCGTGGCATCGAACCGAAAGACTGTTGTTGTTTTAATCAGAACGAAAACGTCGACATCTTAATTTATAACCACTTGTACGCATGAAAGTAAACGAGATAAATGGTATCCTCGGCATCCCTTTGCTTAGCCTTTCCGCCGCTACTCGGCTAAACTAACGCCATTATTAACCGTTGAAAGGCCATTGTTTTTGTTTCCCCGACAACGGCATTATACGACAAGCCTACACGCTGCACTCTTTTTGTCGACCGTTTTAATACACTCTGATTGCGTTGGGATTACTTATTTACATTGTCACTCGTGAATTTCATTAAGTTTTCACCTTGTACCCGTTCACAAATCATTCAAATATCGATTCCACTAAATAACTCGACAATGCATCGTTCGATAATAATGAGTTTTCGTGGAAATTCTTGGAAAATTTAAGAAAAAGTATTCGGTGTAGTAACCTCCCTATGGTATTACTTAAATTGGAGTTTCAATGTTAAGCATTCATAAAGATTTCACACGTTTGAATTAGACACCTATAGGTGTCGGGCAAAGCGTTTAAAAAATTTCAATTAAAAATGAAAAATAGTATCGCTTTTTAATTATGGTAAATATTTGAATTAGTTTTTAAATTAAAACTGTTTTGTATCTGTCTCAACGTAAAGACCTCAAGTGTCACAACGTTCAACCCGTACTTGTAAAAGTTATCAAAGGGAGCGAAATGCATTTTGTAAAAGCCACAAGAGGAATGCTACACACTTTAAGTATTATCTCCATTGCGTGTAAAGAATTATTGTGTCCTATTTTATAAAAGCATATTGTTATGCGTTTTGATCCCCCGGAGTGTTTGACATATTCGAGCCGCCCACACGCACCCTATTTTCGCCAATAGCTCAAATACTCTTCTGTATAACTTTCTGCGCACATCAAACAAAGGGAGTCGTGAATGGTTCAAAACACTAAATAAAACATTACAAGAAAAAAATAGCATTTAACTTTTTCGTCAAAACTATACAACTTTTATCGAGTCTATTTGTTTTGTTTCGCTTTTATTCGAACAAAAAACAGTAATCATAAATAAACGCGTCCAGAAGGCAAAAGTACACTGCGCGGCGTTATTCACATTTACAACAGTGTTGGTTAATATCTATAATAATAAATAGCAATATGTACAAATGATTGTGATTTACACGGTAGCATTTAATGAACGTTCTAAACACGTGACATAACAATATATTAACAGTAATGAATAGTAAAAAATAGTCAATGTGCGCGTGCTCGTGGCGTACTCGTTAACAAAGACATACTGTGCACTCTCATTATGTTATGCTCAACAACAAGCTTTACTTGTATTGAGGGGTTGCAAGCTTACACATGCAAATCTAAAAAAACCGGTTGTCTCACTAGTTGTTGTCACACATATGTCAGAAACGAGTACGCGCGTCGGTTGTTGTGCATTTTATCACAATAACAAAATTAAATATCGACCACTGTAAACAACAACTTTTTAAATTCATCATTTCTCGATTACTACTCCCCGTCAAGGTAATCAGTAGAATTAATTAATTCTACTCAGTTATTGAAATTACTTTTGGTGGTTTGGACTAGAACAGATTGAATTTTATTACAGTAGGCATTTAATTCAGTTATCCGCGAACGCACTAACAAAATATTAAAATTCCTTGAAAATCAAAATATCTAGAATCGATTGAGATAATACATTGATAGGAAAACTTGTAACCAGAAGACATGGAAGTTGTTATAAAAAAATATTTATATTATGCCAAATCTCGATTATCATTTATTGTACAAAGGTATTATGAAGAATAAAATAATAATCAAATTTGTTGTGAATTCATGAATAATTATTATCCAATTATAACTCGGTCCAAAATATCACGTGCTTCATTGACTAATAATATTAATGTGATAAATACTATTCATTGCAAATATAATTGACTTTGATCATTTTACAAACAATATGGGGTTTGAAATAATAGTAAAATGCTTTTGAAAAAATAAGTATACCAACTGTTAAACAAACATAATTTATTCACAACATCAGGCACCAAGATACAACGTTTACTCTGATACCGATAGAATAATTCAGCAAATCATTAAGGCTATTTTCAAACACTGTGTTGATATTTTTTTATCCATTTGTATCATCAACCCTCAATAAAAAACGTTTCCGTAGTAAGTTGAATGAAAACGAAATTAATAACCCGTGCAAATCGCTTACGGTTATTATGAGGTACATTGTACGTGAGGAGCTACTAGTGTCTCCGGTCGCGAAGGGCAATGTTTTTTCTGGCCCATTCCCATCGGGTTCGCCGAGTACTGTGCAACATTAAGGCCGCCGCCCTTGGAAGAATATTTTAATTCGGCTCATTGACGCCGGTGAAAATGATTTGTAATTGATCATTATCACGCCGTGGCCACTCGGTCGGCTCACAATGGGCTTACACTCGGTCGACACATTATTCGTGACATATGTTTTGACCTAACCCCTCGGCTGTGTTTACACGCGTGATTCCCTATTCAATAAAAATAGCGATTTTTTATCCCTCGGGCCCTCCCTGATCCGTTTAAGTAGGTGCTCTTCGATTGTGTGTCGCCCAGATATACACGCACAAGAGCTATGATCGACAACAATAGTTCGGTAACAAACACACATGCATAATGGTCGCTTGAAATAATTAAGCAGATGTTTTGTGTCTTCTTCCTTGCAATGTCCCGCGTACCTATACTCTGTCCACCGTTACTAATTCGTTGAAACGTATCTACAAAAATCGTTAGACTGAATAGCATCAGTCGCTAGGCTTTCCATGATGGGAGATGGCCAGATAGGAGGGGGTTTGATATTTTATTAACAACGATTACATAGTGAAAATACATAAATTTTCATCGAGAGGGACAATGAACAATTTTCTTATGTTTTTTACACCGACATAATTCTTTTGTTAGAGATCGGTCAATAACCGGATTAGTTTCTCCATTTAATAAATAAAGAACGCGCGTATTCTTTAAAATAATATTTCTAATTGCCATAATTAAAAAATAGCGGTACTCAAGATTGTTCACGTATTTTTATATTACACNGAACACACGTATTCTTTAAAATAATATTTCTAATTGCCATAATTAAAAAATAGCGGTACTCAAGATTGTTCACGTATTTTTATATTACACAGTAATTTAAATGTTTATATACATGTCTACGTTAACTCGACTATAGGAGAGTGCAACATATAATTTGCCAAATATTTGAAATTCGTGCCTAGGAAACATATTCTATGTTATCACTATTGAATATTTACGCGTGAAAACTATCTAAAAATAAATGTTGAATAAATAGTTCTCTAAAAATTTCACTCTAATTGCCCTATTACTTATCTGATGATAATTTTCGTCGAGTTTCAAATATTTTACAAAAATGAAAAATTTAAACGTTTAATACAAATGATGGCTTTTTTCATTAAAACTTTTAATTAGTACCCACTTGAGCTAACAACTAAGGCACTATGTGCATTCATTTTATACTCGTACAACAGGAGTTTATGGTCCCTTAATAGTATGCGTGTGTGCGTAAATCTGTACAATATATAATATATATTAAAATGCACTGAAACCGTGCAACATTGTTATTTTGTATTGTGTTATGGACGGAATTAAAAAATAATGGAGATAAACTTGGTAGAAGAATGTACTTGAGAAAAAGGGGTGGAAATAAAAAAAAAAGAGAAAAATATACAAAATGATAATACTGCACAGGCCGAAAGTACATATTATAATGATTGATTGTGGGGCGGCAGAGTAGGGGGACTACACAACGCCATTGGTCGGTAACAGAGCCCCGCCTATTTCGACTCACCGGCTTCTGTCGACGTTCACGAGGGTCCGTCTCAATCGACACACAGTTTCGTTTGGTTTCGCGTCGTGTGTACGGACGCTCCGAGTTTCAGTTGTGTCGGTCAAGTGTCGTAGAGTTTACCGTGTGAACCGTTGTTCGCGTTTAATTTATACGTTTGTTAATCGTTCCGTTCGACATGGACGGACCACCACATATGACCAATTTCGATTTTATTATGGATCATCATCATCATCACAGAGGCCTGGAATCGTCGGTATCACCACCGACGGTAGCCGCGGCCGCTGCTATTCAACATCATCATTTACACCATCAACAGCAACAACATACCAATAGCCAACAGCCCAACAGTAAAGCGGACCACATAAAGCGCCCCATGAACGCGTTTATGGTATGGGCTAAAATCCAAAGACGGCTCATAGCTCACGATAACCCGAAAATGCACAACTCCGAGATAAGCAAAAGATTGGGTGCCGAGTGGAAACTGTTGAACGAGACCGAAAAAAGGCCTTACATTGATGAGGCCAAACGGCTACGAGCTTTGCATATGAAGGAACACCCCGATTATAAATACCGTCCACGCAGGAAACCCAAAATACAAATGCAAAATAATAACAATAACAACAACAACGGAGTTGCGGGCATCGGTGCTGGCGTAGGTGGAGGCGGTCAGATGCACCACAAGGCTAACTTTCACAACTTCCCAGTCGTGTCCACGGGAACGTCCAACTTTGCCAACTTTCCCATGCCCTACTTCTCGTCGGCTCACCACCCTGCGCTTCACTCGTTCGATGGTCTCGGCGCGGCCGGTTATTCACCCGCTGGTCTGGTCGGTCCGTACTTGGGTGCCGCTATGCCGTCCTTTGATCCCATTCACTTGTCCAAATTGGTAGCCCAACAGCAACAGCAGCAACAACAGCAACAGCACCAACAACAACAACATCATCAACAGCAACAACATCAAATGCAACTACAACAAGCAGGCGGCATGGGGCCTGGTTCGCCGGCTTCCCCGTCTTCCTCGGATGTCAACATGAACTTACCGTTATCGCAGCCGTCCGCGGCGCACGTGGGACCCAAAAATGGAGCGGCTGTAGTCAGCTCTTTCTATAATCCGTTTTATCCGTCGGCCGGGGGCAAACCGGGCGGCCCTTACCCGCATCACATGAGTATATTCCCTTCGCCGTTTTCGTTTTATAACAGTGCGGCTACCGCTGACGATCACCATCATCACCACGCGGCAGCATTCGCTCACCAACAACAAATGCAAGACAACAGGCCTGGATCGGCGTCGTCCGACATGGAAAACGATCCAATCACCAGACAAGTTCCTAACGTAATTCATTAACTTTGCAATATAAATGGCAGACATTATTGTTTTTTTATCAAAGCAGGTAGCTGAGAGGAGTATTTATTTTTTATTTGGTAAATTCATACTAATGTTACAATTGAAAAACTTGACAAATTGTCACGAAAAAATCATTTTCATTCTCCGCAAATGCACATAAGAAATGATACTATTTTTTTTTTAATAAATTGGAATTAAAAGAATTTGAATGAGTGGAAATTTATTTATTTTATAGGCCCCATTCATTTTCTATTAGTACCACCCTAAATATTATTCATTTTTATGTAAACAACGCTGACAAAGTTTTTTTTTTTTTTGTGAACTCGGACTAATACCTTATTTAAAAGGTATCATGTAAATAATATTAATACAAACAAAGAACGTGCATTGTTAGTTATTACTCTAATAAAAACTGTTCGCAACACATGTAATGTTTGTGATGCTAATAATCAGTATTAATTGATTCTAAGTAAAAACAATATTTGTGTGTTTCTGTATATTTAAAGTAAACTGTTATTGCCCATCAAACGAGTAACAATCGCCTTTTTTTTTTTTCGTGGTATCCCTTTTCTATATTTATTTGCACGATTTTATTTACTCACATTGATGTACTGTTCCTTTATGTTACCCTTTGATATTATCAACTTTTATCTATAAAAAATGTTTGACCATTTTAATTTATGGTTTCGAGCCATTTTTCAATAATTAATGTAATCAAATATATCAATTTTTTCATTATTTAAAAACAATAATTATGATACCCATGTAGATAACATTTATGATAATACTATTTCGTTATTTATGTACTTGAATGTTCCATTAATTTTGTTAATAATTAGTAATTATAACGTTTAAGGTAATTATAATGATGAATAATTGTTGATTTTGTTACTATTATCACTGAAGTGATAAATGTTTGTGTGTGAGTATATAATAGTAAGTGTATACCGTTCGTGTATTGGCCGGTTAATTTATTTTCTAAGAGTAGTGTTAAGAGCCTAAACAAATGTTTGAAAAAAAATAATGTCGCTCGTTGTACTGAATTATTTATAATTTATGTAGATAAAAATGTATTATACTAATATTACATAATTATAATTAATATGATTGAAATGCAATGGTTATTTATCGCTACGTACCTAAATACCCCTTTAATTGTAAATAACGATAAATGTTGTAAAAATGTGTTATACTTAATAAAAAAACAAATTATTATTTAATGACGTATGCCTTGATTTTGTTATTTTTAATGTTATTTGTTTTGTTTCTTTTATTTGTGTCAAGAAAATAACAATTTATAACATGTATTTTAAATACATTAATAAAATGGTTTTCAATAGAACTTATGACTATTCTTTCTTAAAATCTTCACCGTAAATGCTGTTACTTGTTTATATAAAATAATTGTTTCTTATCAAATGAATCCAGCTAATTTAATATTTTTTTTTGCTATTAAACGTCAATTATAATAATTTTCAGTTAAATTACAAAATATAATACATTGGGAAATCTACCCTCAAGTTGACAGTTTATAGTATGTTAAATAAATGTTCATCTCTTTCAAGATTCTCGATAAAAGTTTAAATCGAAGAAATACTTATAAATGAAAAAATATATAAATAAAAAACGCCCCGAGTTATTTACTTGTATATTACACGGGTGGCAAATTATAGTTGAAAGTTTTTTTAAAAAAATATATTTTTCAGTCAGCCTATTGGTGTTTTTTTATGTTATGTTATTTTTACCTTTAATGGGTGCATCAAGATTAAAAAATATCCAACATTTTCAAATATTAGATGCAAGTTTCTCCCAATAATGTTTTTTGTAAATCGAGCAAGTTTTCAATAGAAATTAATAAATTATTAATAACAATTATAAGTATAGGCTAGTTAATAAGTATTGTTATTTTGAATGAGCATTTTAATTTTAATAGAGTATGATTACTCTACATCTTGTTTAAATATCGATAACTATAATAATTATTCTAAACTCGTTAACGGTCGATATGAATATTTTTGCGTCCCTCTACAACAATTAGTATAATTATAAATACATATTCATTTATAATTTTTGAAAGTTATTATGCAACCAGCACCGGCGCAATGGATATGAGAAGTATACATTCGCGCATCGAGGGTACACTAACCCGCAAATAAAATTAATTATTTAAAAAGGTTACTTTTAATAAGATAATAGGGCTTTAAAAAGTTATTTTGCACAGGTCCCTTGATTTGTAGCGTCGGTCCTGTTTTCAACACAATCCTTACTTAAATTTTTGTTCAATCAAAAATTTGGTAATGATTAAAATAAACGAAATAATTGACTATATTTTTATAAAAAAATATTTGAATTTCCTACATACATAAATTTTATCAAGGATCAAAGGTCAAGTAAAATGTCAAAGAATTAACAATAAAGGTGATTTCTTTGGCGGCACAGTCTTAGACAATTTCTTTTATGGTTTTTGTTGATGACAACCCAATTTTACAGGATTCTGTCGTATAGTCATATTTTAATTACACATGTTGAAAAACAACCTTTTTTTGAAATACATCAATTCAGATCAACTGTGTATAGATAGGTAGGTTAACTGAATAGTTGATGATATCTCACACAAAAAAACATATTACATCCCAACTAAGGATGTATCCGTGTTATTCATATATATATATGTGTATATTAAATATAGATGTATTCTTATAAATTCTATAATTAATATAACCAATTTTAACTAATAATTTAAAATTTTTTATGTTAAAATTTCATTCTGACAGAATATTAATAAGACATTTTTTCGGTATACACAATATTTGATGTTGTACGTCCGAATTAGTTTGTGAAACTTCACTTAATTCACATAGACTCTTGTGAACTCTTTTTTATTTTTTAATTTGACACCTTCAGATAAGTGTTCACCCTAGTACTATCCTTTCTGGATGAACATTTTTTTATGTGATATTCAGTTGTACAAGAACAACGGTGTCTATAGGAACAATATGAGTTTCAGATTATAATACAAAAAGAAAAATAATAATAAAAAGCAAGCACCCCTGACTTTTGAATCTCACGAATCCGCCGCTTAGGGGATGGTGTTGGACTGATAAAAATGTCATATAGAAAAAAAAATGGTCCTGTTAAGACCCTCTTTATTTATTTTTTTGTTATACACCGATACACGTCCTATTATATTATATTGGTGTGTGTATTTGGGGCGATGGAAACAATAAGTGTAATATCAATGACAATAATGGTAAATTGATTTTTCTCGCTACACTTGCCCGCAACTGGCTTTACAATTTTTGCGGTTCACATGTGAAATGTTTTATTACAGATTATATTAATTGATACGGAACAAAAACCATACAGATGGAATTTATTTAAGCGAATATTTTACTAAAATTACATGTGCGCTTAATAGTTTTATTTAAAATCTTCTATCAGGAAATATACTAATATCCTAAATATAACATATCTCCTTAAATCAATAAAAATGGCCCTGATTGTAATAATTTTCAAATGGCATTTATGGGAAGCCGTTAAAACTTTTAAGCATTGTTATCTTATACTATATCAGTTGACAATAGATGTTATGGAGAATTATTGTTTGAGTTACATTTTTATTTTCTACATTAGTAGTAATTCTAAAGAATACAACAACAATAAATATAAAAAAAACTTTTACTAACTTTACCAATTATGTAATAAATTATACTTACAATAATTTTAATAAAAGCATAATTTCATATCAATCAATTTTCAAACATAACATAGAACAATATATTAGCGTTTGATACTTTTTTTTAATTTCGCTAAATTTTAAATAATTAAATATTTTTTTTCATTATTTTGGCCGAAAAAGTAGGTTAGGTAGTGAATAGTTCCGTGTTTTTAATTTTCAGTTGATATCCGCGATAAATTCTACTAAAAAATTATTATTACATTTTTTTTTTAAAGATTTCTCGAAAAAATAATGCAACTTTTTACCGTGGTCTTGAAATTAAATCAGCAAACACTTTTTACTATAAAATTAATAATTATTGATTTGTCAACAATAGTAATTACTTTTGATTGATAAAAATTAAAACATTAATCTTAAACGTTAATTCTAAAATGTTTTTAATAAGAATGTATTTAAATGTCGTAATAATGATAATATGTAAGTACACAGTATTACAACAGTTCTGCTGCACAAATCAAATATTTTAAATCTATTGTTATACAACAATAGAAAACACTAAGCTGGATTATAATAAACTAGTAGCTTGTACCGGACGTCAGCAGGATTTTGAGGTCTGGGCGTTTTTTGACAGGCACTGATTTCCTTAGATAGTTTTTGCATTCAGTCTAAATGAGAAAACCTAGTGATTTTTTATGTTGATTACTTAATATTTAAATATTATGTAATCAATAGAATTAGAGGTGAACTTATGCAGAGCTCGCGGAGCGCAAGTTTTTCACCCGAAATTTCGGTGATAAATTTTTATACACAAAATAATATTTACAAGTAAACAAAAAAAAAAAAAATGATAAAATTGGACAAAACAGTTTATTATTATTTTTAGCCCTAATGCGTCCCTCTGAAAAAAAATCCTTTAATATGTGTTTCTGATGGTAGTTATTTTATTATCATCTAGGAAAAAAACCTGATTTATAAAATATACAATTATAATAACTGAATTTTTCTAACCCAATAAGTTTGGTTAGTAAAGTATATAATTATATAAAAATAGTAATTATTTTGTGAAAGTTGTACAATGTCTATTAGTAATTTTTACAAAATGAAATGCGCTTACATTTGCAGTGTATCGTTAACAAAAGACTACATTGAGCAGCTATTTATTTAAATAACACTTGTATTTTGTTTTCGTCTTTTAATACTGTTAACAGTAACCACTGACTTAAGTTATAACTTTATTGAAACGGTTGAATAATTAACTTTACTTCTTAATATTACCAGTACACCTCATGTTTAAACTGGGTTAGTTCATTTAGAGAATGAAGCCATTCAGGGAAATCTAAAAGAACATTTTCATATTATACTAAAGTAACCCTTAGAGTACACTTGTATATTAATTCTAAACGAGATTTAAAATCATCAAGCTGGAAACAGTGTACGCATGCCTAATCCGTTTAATTGGCATCAGTTTGCGTTGGTTATACAAAAATTGCAGTCAATCGTGAAATTTTTGTGGTAGAATAAAAAAAAAAAATGTCTACGTGTACTTGTACCCATAAAGGCACAAAAAAATGATGAAAATAAAAAAATACTCTACCCCACATTATATTAAATACCCGCCGGGTAATTTATATGCGATCTTTTATAATATTATTCAATCGCTAAAAGTCTGAAGTGGATCACGATAAAAAAAAAAATGTCGTTTTCTCAGAGCCACCGCCACAAAGACTTCTCCCTCGCGCTTTAATTTTGTGTTTAATATTACTGTAAGATATTATGTATGTATATTTTTTTCTTTCCGAATAGTTATTTCTGTTCAATAGCTAACGTGAATATGTGCATTTATATGGTATACTTGAATGTGACATATCCCTGTGCCGCTGTAGAGCTCTTGTGTGTGTTATAATGGGTTTTGTTACCGCCTGCACACCAACAACCAGCCAGCCACTGTGGCGTTAGAACTCCTTATGTATACTCAATTTTAATAATAATAATACAATCGAAGTATGAATGGAAAGTGTTGCCAATTAAAAAACAAATAATGTCAACAGCAGCAGAATCGCATATTCATGCACGTGTTGATTGGGGTGAAACGTATAAAATTAAATTGTTGTGTTCAGTATTGGGGTGTTACAACAGAGAAGAAGAAAACCTACATTATTTACTGTAGTGTGATTTGTAAAAGATCCCTGCTATGCGATTGTTTCTCCAATTGAGATTCCTATTGATGGTTAACACTGGTGTAATTATGGGGGGGGGGAATGGGTGTCATGTCCCCCTATGGCAAAAATAATTACACGGCGAGGATACATTTTTGTTGGTTTGGAGGGGAGAGCGGATAGTTTTCTTATGTATATGTCCCCCCAAGACGAAACCCTAATTACGCCACTAATTGTCAATAAGAAGTTATATCATCAGTGTTACAGTATGGTAGAAATTGTGACCACAAATTATCGTCATTTACCAATATGTTCCTGCATTAAAAAGAAGCGGTTGTACTTTGACTTTTACTGTATTTTATGTTTAGGCACACTGTACTCAGGATTT